AACACTTGCTAGCAACCGCGCCCATCTATGATTGGGTGTTTATCACTCGAATGTTTCTGATATCTGAATTTAATGAGTATATGTGTATACAACATATTTGGGAATAGATCCACGTTTCTCCACTGATGAACTGATCAGTAACTCATCGGAGTGTTTGGTTTGCATAAAGGCTTCCGAAATTGATAGGAAAGTATAGTGTAGAATAAAATGTGTCTGTCTGTACTACGTAATAATAATGATTATTAAAATTATTATTGCAATGGAAGAACACATGTCATCAAATTCTCATTTATTTGTAGATTCAGTGGAATAACAACAGAATTCCTCATAAATATTGAATTAGACATTTGGATTTTATTTATATTTTCCCTGATAACAAATCTATCTGACTTGCCATTATTTGACTACAACAGTCAGATAAAGTTGAATGTCGACTCGCATATTATAATTAACCTAATTCCGAATAACAGTTATAATTATCTTGACAATTTAGTTTGTTAGTTAATAGTTTCCGCCTATCAGGCATCACTTCTCAATGTTCATTGTAGACAAATATTCCTCATTATTTCTGCTTATCCTTAACTAATTAATAGTTTTATGAATGAATTGCATAAATGAATGTCATTAAACAATTTAATCTTTTTTTAAGAATTTGTCTAAAATTAAAATCATTTGAATGAACAAGCTTATCTCGTCATTGTAATATCAGTATTATCTAGAAACATGTTTGGAGAATATCTAATTATTGACTGATTAACACATCTACTAATTACATACAGACATCATAGATCCTTAACTACAATGAGAAAACGGCTAGTCGATAATTTCATTCTGTGCACTGTTATTAGAAGTTCAATCAGATGTTGAGCTTCATGTATAATTTACTCGAACACCTTCTTACTAAGATTAGAATTAAAGTTTCAATGAATTCGGAGTGAAACATTCAGCTCTGTGTCTGCTTGATAAATAGGAATACTTCACTACCAGGTTTTCAATGGTGGTCTAGCTTCAACTGACTCATGATTTCAATCTGTGAAAATTTCTAAAAATCTCCACAAACCCCTTCTGACATGTTTTATGTAACAAAATCTACTGTTATACCTTTAATTTACATTTTATATAAAGACTTCGTTCACTAATTTTATGATTTTTTCAGATATGAGTTTTACAGTCAACAATCACTATTCATTGACCAAAGTTAGCATGAGATATTTATTATTCTAAACTATTGAACTGAATCAGACGACATTTTGATCATATGATTTCCAAACACAAACATCATGTCATTTGAAGTCTGATTGGGACATGGAATGATTATTGATTTTACCTAATGGAATATATATATATATATGAGGATGAGAAATAATTTAACAAAGGGCTTTTACTTGTATACTTGGAGTCAGAAAACTTGTCTCTGTTATTTTTAAGGAACAGATATAAAGTTCTTTAATCTTCATCGACATTGTGGTAAAGGATTCTGATTTTGTGTTTTCATTAGGTAAGAAGGAAAGAATATTTAGTGAATTTATTCAGTGTTTTACCTAGACTTATTGTATAGTGCTTAAGAAGGCAGTGATGTTCTTGCTGGATCGTTCTGTCGATGTACGTGTGTTTAAATTATCGAATAAATTTATAAGTAGTCAAAGATGCGACCGAATTTAGAAATCTGTTCTATACTTAGATTCTTAATATGTAGCAAAAGTGTATATTCCCGGGTTGTTTACTTCAGATACCTTCATATTAGTTAAGCTGTTGGTGGTTTATCAACCTCATCTCTACTGGAAGTAAGAGTACAGTTTAATATTTTCTTATTGTTATATCTTGTGACCGCCTATTAGAGAGCGGTGACTTATCGACCGGATCAAAGGCGCGTAAACCGGTATGAACAGCCTACAGTTCTGATTGGTCCTGCTTTCCACCTAGCCCAGCCAGTTAAGTCCAGAACACCAATCCGATATGAATCATGTATTTCAAACATTCTCGGTTTATATACCAAACAAGCAGACCACAACGTACGACAAAGTAGAAAATAACATTTGTACAAAATTTGGCCAAGTGTGGCTGTGAACGTGGGAGGTGGTGATTAATAAACAGGGAATAATTCAAGAATGGAAAATCGTATAATAACAGTTCATAGGTTGAAATAAAGCTAATGATAAGAGAGACATGAATACAAATAGTTTAGTTAATTAACAATTATACGATAAAAATATACGTATAGTATTGGTCCACAAATAGATCCAAAAAATTACCACTTATTATTCTTATCGGGACACAACACTTATGCATTAATGTTATGCAGTTTCCTAATAACATTTTTGTCGTATAAACCTTCCGGCTAATTGTTTGTATACGGGATGCGATGTATTGCTGTTATCACATTTTCGATAGCATGTTTCATGTAATATGTTCGGATAAAAATATTTATTAGTTGATGAGATTTTTATTGTACTAAATGAGTATTAAGAAACGGACAAAAACTGACCTATTAGTCAGTCAACTGTTTTTAATGTGCTACTATATTCTCTTTTAAATATCGAAGCATAGGAAGATAGATGATACTCATTTCATTTTATTGTGTTTTCATTCTGAAATGGTCTGAAGTTCTGGAATGGTTCAGAGATTATGGGAGCATGAAGCGAAGGTTGATTGGTCACTCGACCGCCATGGTTTTAGTGGATTAAAGAGTTATTTGGAGATTTACATTCTCTGAGAATACGTTGGTGCACATATCCTGTAACACCAAGGTTGATGAAGAAAGCAGTTGTGATATGATGTCGTTTGTTCTGAAAATTGCAAGGTCTGTATTTTAAGGATTGGGAGAATTAGAAGGAAAACGATTGATAATCATACAAATCTACACTTCAACCTTCGACTCAGTAAAGCGTAGTATCCAGTTCATCATCACCACAGGAATCTAGAAAGCTGATTTAATTGTATGTTCCAATACGGAATATTAAATAAATCTTATCATACTGGATAATCTCACAGTAGATACACCTAACCTAAATACAATAGTATCCTGCATAAAATAAATTCCATGATGACTTGAACACATTCGCTTTAAATATTGTCCATGATTTAAAACCAGAAGTAAAGATGGATAGTGTTGAAGCTTATTGTATATCAAGCGAATCAAAGAGACAAACCAAATAAAAAACAACCACAGATGAACAAAACCTGAGGATTACTAGTTATCAAGCGTTCAACACAATACCTAAAGATGAATAAAATTAGAATACTACTTACTTAGTGACTGGCTTATAATCTTATTGTAAATATAGCTTCAAGTCAACATTAGTACAATAAACGTGACTTATAAAGGAACTATACCATACACTTTTAATAATTCAATACTGAATTAGCAACACATTTGTAAAAATAAACTTCAAATATCAACGGGAAGAAACTGGAAAACACCTAAATTCAAAAACCGAGAGAAATAGCTAAATTACCAGCATGTGGTCATAGAGAGTTGTGAAGTGTATTGGCCAACTGAAATATCAAAACGAATAACGTATGTAATCCACTTCATTTGGATTGCTTTTATTGATCTGAATGTAAGTTGTTACATTATCAGTAGGAGGCTATCTTGATAGTGTAACTATGCTAACCAATTAGGCACTACATTTTAGTTTGATACTTGCAACATAATTTATCACGGTTTTCTATCAATAGTGGCTACCATTAAAGTGATTTTTGGCAGATCGCCTGATGCATCAGATAGATATGCTATATAAATATCAGTGACTTGGATAGAGATAAAAGCATATTTTTAAAAGATTACTCTTGCAACTTAACTGCTTATAAAGCAAAACATATTGTACACGGTATTAAATTTAAATTCGTTAGTGAGTCAGTTCCTTGTAAACACTGATTGAAGCAACGACTTCGTTATGAACGCTTCAATATATAGTGTACAGATGTAACACCTACAACATTGGGTAATTGCAAAACTTTAGAGATCATGTTGGGCGCAATATAAAGTAGCAGTATTTTCACCATGAAATAACTTCAGGTTCTTTCATAGGTCAAATGAAGAATGTAGCAGTGAAAATGTTATGTTAGTGGGTGCAGAGCAATCATACAACTTGTTTAAAATTGGTGTGATCTTTGATAAATACTAATCCAAGTTACGTAAACTAATTTCTTTTTGTGTATAGCTATACCAGTTGGAAAACAGATTGATATGTAGTAACGAAATATCTGAGACAATTTATCCAGTTGACTTCCTTTTACTTTATCAATCTGTGTGAGGAAGCATTTACCACTGCAGCGCAATACAGATTGTTACCAACTGATATAGTAGAGAAATATAAAAAATGAAACCAATGTTCGTAATAATGTTGTATCCTCTTTCAGTTGGAAGAACGCTGGATTTATAATTGAGTAAAGTTCCCTGGCTACTGAACAGATTGATATGTAGTAACGAAATATCTGAGACAACATATCCAGTTGACTTCCTTTTACTTTATCAATCTGTGTGAGGAAGGATTTAGCCTAGAGAAAGGTCTTTAATTTTATTCTTATGTTTTATTTCCTTAAATACTAGTATGCAAATTCTACTGACTATATTCAAGTTGCATCAGATGACTGAAGTATGTGTTGAAAATCTAATTTATCCTTCACTCAAATAGGGGTCATAGTTCGATGGTCACCAGCTATGGTATAATTATCAAATAAATTAACAAACTTCTTGAAAGTAAACTTCGAGATATTACTGAAGCTGTAATTTACAAAAATCCTGTTCTTACACTAGAAAATAGTTAAATAACAACCAACAGTCTGCTAAATTCCTACTTAAGCCACTCTTCATTAGGTCAGAATATAATGCAAATGTGATTAATATGTACTTTATTTGAAACGGTTAATTGCAAGATAAGTAATATAATAGAAAATTAACTAAATGTTCTATTATTGCACACAACATAAAATGAACACATTGAAAAGGCACAAATATTTGAACAAAGTTTGTATTCCAACTGGAAGTGATTGATCGGTTAAAAAGGCTTGATGTTTGGACAGGTGTTAGTCCAGTCTGCCAATAGAAGTTCATTTGCATAAATTGCGTTGATGCATACTATAGGAGATGTATATAAAAACAAACAAGATCAAACGGTGGTCAATCAGCTGATAAACTCACTTCTCAAACTTCAAACCAAGTATCATTTTTGATAGACATATTTTGAATGTTAATAACAGAACTATAACTAAGCTACGATGTGTTCGCGAATGCGTGTTGTATCCACGGTATAGCCAAACACGTATGTCATAGAAATCTGGCTATCTGCTGTAATAATTCCTATAATAATCTATCTTATTTAAACAATACTAGATAGTAGAACGCAGTCAAACCAGTATACAATGAGTAAAGTCTTAGAACCATGCAAACGGTGGGATCAACCAATAGAAGTAAACCAATTCAGATTAAAATTTGGTTGTTTATCTGTGTGCACCTCAATAAAATAATGTGAATGTAGTGTTGACGTCTTCATTTGAGCATTAAATTATGAAAAATTAAGCTATGCATTATTAGGAATTAATAAAGTTACTATTTAACGACAACCGTGTGAAAGACGAATTATGTAGTCATGGAAAAACCGACTATATGAGAAATAAAAATCACACATATTGTTATGCTATCTAGTGCATATCACAAGAGCTATGTGTTCGGTTGGAATTGTCATGACTCTTATCCTTGAAGAAATATTGAAAACTCTTAGGTTTTGATGCACACTTCCATGTGGGATGACAGAAAACACGTTTGAGCATCTGGTTACTACTATACATTACTTACCATTCCATTGATTAGCCACTCGCATCTTGCAAAATGACTCAGACAATGTATTGTCAATTGATCCAGTTGATGAAATCCATGGTATGACACTTGCTGTAATGATTTCAGTCGACGTATTCAAAGTTCTTTGATACATGAATGAGTTGATTGAAATCCATGTTTTCCCCAAATCCTTACTCATCATTACACCTCCACCATTTGCTCCCAAACCGAACAATATGCCAAGTGGATTTGTGTACGCTATAATCTGTTCAACATATGGTCCGACATCTGAGAATCGAAAAGAAATCCATCGAAACATATCTGACATTGTTTTGTCAAAATAAGCCTAAACAAAATTTTCGATGAGCCTAAATTCTTAGCAACTATGTATTTCATGATTCTGTACAATGGATGTTTTAAAATACTAAACGTTTGTAGTTATGACTTATTAAAATACTTTATTTGTGCTACATGAACTAAAAATTCTCTTATGACCTTATATATCAGTTCAAGTAGTCATGTATAATTAATAGTAAAATATGAAGAGAATGAATTATAAATCCTCCTTCCAAGTACAAATTCTGCCATAATTAGCTTGTGATGTCGGTCTTTAATGTAAAACATTTGTTTTCCTTCATTATGATAATGTTTGGTTTTATACATTATGTCTTGTAAACTGAGTCGGATGTTAGTTCGATACATTCATGAATAATCAATTTTGATAATTGTTATTCTATTGATTAACAATCTGGTGTCAACTAACTAAGGTTGGTTAGCACATCATGAATGTGATAAAAATAGGACAATAAGTAGAATCGAACAGAGGTGGTAGTGGACACTCTCCCGTTGCAAAGTAGTAAGCTCTGAATATGAAAAGGTTGATTATTCTGAAGAAATCATCATACTTGACGATTAATCTAAATCTTAGTTGTGTGGTGTGGACTACTGTAGTCGACAGATGTAAGTAGTATTTGTCATCAATCGAAATTGAAATGCCTGGTGGTAGAAAGTTGAGATCGAAGAAAGAGAACAAGAATAGCGAATGTTTGGTATGGAAACGAAAGAACAATCAAGTATGAGACAATTGACTGACATTTTGCAAATGAAGTGATTATTTTGTGGTTCTCAGATTTTACTAGGATGTTCTATAATTTTATATTGTAATGAATTTGGTTGTGCCCACTGGTGTTCTTGTTTACTACAGTTGAACGAAATAGGTTTGCATTGTGAATATATTCAGTATTGATTTAAACATATGTTCACTTGTTATTGGGATTTCTGTAGTTTTACAAAATTGAGAAAGGAATTATTCGTAATTGAAATAAAAGATAACTTTAATAAACATCCAATTAACTTTGAGATTCGGGTGACTAAAAGCTTTCAACAGTGTGTTGCTGAAACGGATGAAAGACTCAGTAGACACCGAACTTTGAGGCCGACAGACTGGATTCCGTAAGGATCGGTCGTGCACAAACCAAATCGCTACACAACAGACCAATGTTGAATGAATGCGAATCCGAAATGAAGAGAATGAATAGGAATTAGATAGTGTTGGGAAGGGTTGTCCAGGACAGAGATGGATGGAGAATGCTGGTGGGTGGCCTATGCTCCTGCACTAGGGGTAACAGACGTAACTATGTAGTTTTGAACTTCAAATATCCACTGTTGAATAATAAAACACAACAGATTGTCTATGATTACTTACCAAACCAAATTCTTTCAGGCAATTTACCAATCTTGAAACATCGTCTCACCAAATCTAATGAACCCTTCATACTAAACGCACGTGCACAATAAAACAAAATATCACCAACATTTAGAAATGTGTTCGCTTCACGGTCGGGCAACTGTACCAAAGGGTTCCGCATTGCAACGTAATGAGGTAAGTTGTAAGGATCTGAATGCAAAAGGTCAATACAAGACAATGTTGTTGAATGACACATCACAGAGTCACTGAGAATTATTTTAACTATCCCAAAAATCAATAAAATGATAGAGAATTCTTTCACATTAACGTGATGTGACTGTAGATAAGTAACCAATAACAAACATTCCTTATGGTGATGATTGACAAAATTCGAGGTCATTTTAGTAGGGGAGTGTAAGAGAACTGCATATAGTTACAGTGTAAACATATATAGCTGATACTTCTCAACAAGGAGATCAGTGTTTTTCTTTTTATCTTTTGTTTGCGATTGTACATTACACATCACAGAGTCACTGAGAATTATTTTAACTATCCCAAAAATCAATAAAATGATAGAGAATTCTTTCACATTAACGTGATGTGACTGTAGATAAGTAACCAATAACAAACATTCCTTATGGTGATGATTGACAAAATTCGAGGTCATTTTAGTAGGGGAGTGTAAGAGAACTGCATATAGTTACAGTGTAAACATATATAGCTGATACTTCTCAACAAGGAGATCAGTGTTTTTCTTTTTATCTTTTGTTTGCGATTGTACATTACTAGCAGTTTTGTATGATCAAATGTAATATCATTATGGAAAGCCTCCAAATAATGGAGGACTAACTCATCTTTTCTCTGAAAGCAATTAACAAGCACCTCAAATTTTGAGAATGATTGTGATTTCAGTAGCATGAGAAAAATTCAGTAAATTATGATGGGTTGTAAAGTTGTATTTGTATGTGTGAATACTTGATGACAGTATGATAAATCGGATGGAATGCAAAGATTGAAATCTTTTCCACAACAGCGGAAATTTTAACAGCATTTTCCATTTAAGGTAACGTATCCGACATACAGGGTAAACTTATTTCCCATAATACAGTCATTTCTTGGTAGGTAGTGTTGATTTATAATCATAACATGAATTTGGAAAAATACACACCGATAAAACTCACAAGTGTAGTCAAGTTGAACACGCAGATGAGATTTGAACTTGTAAAACCTTTGTTTTGCACAGCTATTCACTACGGGACTACCACGTTCATAGGGTTTGCACACAATTTCGACTAGAACTGGATATTTCACAATGGTTGTACTACGAGATGGATTAAATTTCAGAATAAAGGTGACTTCATACTTTGCACCAAAATATAAACGTCCTGCCTGAAACGAGAAAATAAAATCCTTAATTGTTGTTTCAGAGCAAGAGTTGATATATGTTTGAAATTTATGTTTCGTTTTGTAATATGAGACGATTCCAAATGATGACTAACGTAGGCAAACCAAACTAATGTAATTTACCTCCCCTATGCTTGGTGAACGGAATTGTACAAACCTTGGAAGTTTCATTAGTACAGTAAATGACAGTGAATCCTGATATTAGATCGATCTCGTGCTCCCGTTTAGGTAAATGAAGCAATGTTTCGATGGATTTAAATGAGTTTGAATGTTTGACGAGCATTATTGAAAGTATTTCACAGTTGAAACTTAAAGTTTGAAATGACTGCAGTGGTTAAATAGATTTCCCTCGAGTTGGAACTATATGCAGCAATTAATGGTAAACAGATATGAAACACAAATACAAGTTTTGTTTTAGAAAAGTATTTCAGAGTGATATTTCACTTGTAAATTCGAAATTTGAAATTTGAAATGTTTGACTATGACCCAGAAAGTGGTAGAAAAAATATTACTTTTATGTAGCAATGCAGTTAAACAATGAAATCAAATCATAAAGTACCCTCTAAATATTTCAGTGATATTGCGGAACAAAGATTACAAACCATTTATGGATAATGAAAACTTCACGATTCAGTTGACTGAACGTTTTCTATATTTGGTTAACAGACTGAATGGATTGAGGTTATCATTAACGTATTTAGTGTTCAATGTCTATGACGTATACAGTATTTTCTAGTACCTTTTAGTTCATTTACTGAGTGGAGTGCTATGTAGGGAATGTAATTTTGATCGTTAATTTTATTTCAGGCATTAGATTTCAACGAGTTTGTGTTTTCCATCCGGTATGTCATAATGCGCAACACTAGCATATTCATAGCAGATAGCTGCAGACAACTCCAAAAGTCTGAGATAAAAACTAGTGGTAGTTTTAATGTTGTATGGAGTACTCACTCACACGTGAATGTGCATGGAAATTGAGCACTTATCGAACATTGAAGACGAGACTGGTAACTTGAGTTTATTCATTATGTTGATCAAGTACAAAATGATCGCTAAAACGTTGTAACATACCTTATGGAAATAAGTAGTAATTGGTTAGTGAGTTAAGATAGAAATGTTTGATTATAATGAATAAAAGTGATTATATTATGTTGTGAAATGATTTCTGCAAGAGACGTCTACTCTGACTTGTATTGTTTGTTTGAATCTTTCCACTGTTGCTGAGAACAGACATTGATTAGTCTCTTATTGACATGCGTGCATCCCGTGGAGATTGCTTCGATATTGCCTTAAGTCACATGGATTATAAGCAGGGGTGGATGATGGTTTGCAGTCCTATTTGAGACTCGTCCACGATTGCACCGCTCATCACCATCCAATTTTCTGATATAACGGATTATTTAAAATATTTTTTCTCTCTCATGTTTACTACAACAATATAACTAGCCACGCTACATCAGAACCAGGATTCACGACAAAGAATAGGAAACCAGAATAACACTAGATAATACCTCATTCAATACAGTTATAAACAGTCACACCCAGTGAATCAGAAGTATGATTCAATAAGTTTGAAAGAACTCACATATAAAAAGGATTCAGCAAAATAAATTTCTTTTCCACTCAATCATTTACTCAAACTACACATTCGTATTAATAGTTATATGGCAAATATATGTCTATAGAAGGATAGAAAAGATTGCATCATAAAGTGATTCAAGATTCGAAATATCAAATGCAGTTGTGTATAACATTGTCGACTATTCAGTTACATGCATTATTACTTGGTCCTCAATTTTGTAGTACGTCAACTATCATTAATGAACTCAATAAGTAATCACGATATCTATAACTAGACGACTACCCACAAAACAACATAAGTCTCAATTATTTCATCTTCTGAAAATCACGATTTAGTGCAGTGTCACCCAGACAAGGTTGCAGGAAAGAAGAACATCTCCCTATGTTCTATACTTGATATGAATAACTCTCTATATCATTTGTTTGCTAAATGGTTTGCTGACATTTTACAACCCGTGAGAAATCACATCAATACATGCAACTTTCATGATTATTTCGATTTTGTCGATTCAGAAATATCATTTTGAATGATCTCATTGTATGGCACTCCTCTCTTTACAAATGTTCCACTCACAGAGACGATGTGATTTTCATGTGACGATATTGAAATAACAACATTGATATTAGTACCCTAAAACATTATCTAGAAGAGCTATCTCCACGATGTACCCTCAATGTGCAATTCAGGTTTAGTAATTATTTCTATAGACAAACAGATGAAATTGGAATGGGTTCACCACTATCTCCCTGCACTCTTGGATGATTGTTTCATGGATAATCTGGAAAATACAGTACTTCGATAGATAATTGAGAGATTTCATTTATCTAAGAGATGTATGGATGATACTTTATGATATTAGTGACTGATAATAGGTCTCATTTTGCTGCAGACACAGTCACTACCTGGTTCAATGGTATAGGGTGTAGACATCTGTTCACTGCTTCCAGGCACGCTTCTTCTAATCGTCAGGCAAAACATTTCGTCAGGACATTGATAACTGCAATTGATTCCACTACTGCTTCCACATTTGATGAACTGGAGAGAGGAGTAGACACAGTTCTACTGCAATAAAAAATGCTAAGCATTCTGTAACGAAAGAGATTCCAACAAAGCTGATAAAAGGAAGAATCCTTCATTCCAATATAAGGCGTTTAGAGTCTCCATGTGTTACATGTTATCGTGGAAATAATCTTCGACCAGTCATGATAATTGTGGTGAAGAATGTTGCAAAATCTATGGTTCAAATCCTAGATATCAATGATTTAAGTACACACAACCTATATGTTGATCAAATACAATTCCAGGAACCAAGTGAATCTGTTCCAATTCCGGTTTTTAATTCTAATACTAATGAGCACATCCTAGATCATGCAGAATCTACATCCAATACACAATCGGACAAACACATGATGAACTTAAGGAAAAGTGCAATCGATTACAGAAATTTAGGTTCCCATTTAAGCTGTGTGTATTTGTACAAACTAATGATTGCTTTGTACTTGACTGCCCGCTGATTATCAATTCCAAATATAATGCGTTCCCTTGTCTCAGCTTGTTCTACTTGAGTTAAATTGCTCTATTTCGGGAGTTCTTAGTTTTGCACATAAATTCGAATACTTCAGATTACCATATACTTTCATAATTTGTGAAGAAAAAATGGATCACAATGAAATTTCTGATTGGTTCAATAGTTGTCGTCACTCAATTTAATTCACGTTGGAAACAGAGGCGAATGAGGAATTTCATTTTCTAGATGTCCGGTTGAAAAGAAGTTCATATGGTTCTTTACAGTGATCTATATTTAAAAACTGACCTGGAATGGTCGGTATACGGATTTCCATAGTTGGATCTTATTGAGTAGAAAAAGAAAATTGATTCACTCTTTATCCTCAAGGCCTAGGGGAATGTTCTGATGGTGAAGTGGTTGACGAACTACTTCAACTTTGGCAGACATTCATCAGAAATGGTTATCCACCTAGATTAGTAGATAGGAACTTAACACCAAGACATCCTAAATAACAACACCGATAGTTCAAAAGAAAACTCTTCTTAAAAATATCGAGTTTAAAAGAGATCAGCCCGCTGAAATCTTTAATATACATATTTCAAAATCCCTGGATAAAACCTATTCAACTAAGCTCCGTCTCGTCTTCTCAAGCCGGCCTACCATTCACAGATGTGATGGGGATAATCTTCCGCTTTTGTCCATGTTGATGTGCATCTATAAATCTACTTGTTCCTGTGGAGCAGATTACATTGGCCGCATAAAGCGATCACTTTCTAAACGCATCTCAGAACAATATTTGGCGTGGTTTTCAAAGGGAGGATGCAAAACAGTTACCATTCCGATACAGGAACACTTAATAATCAAAGGAACTGATTTCTACTGTCGTTACGTTGATGATACCTTCATCATTGCCGATCAGAACATTAGAAAAGAACAACTACTTAAACTATTTAATAACAAACATCCGGCTATTAAATTTACATGTGAGGAGGAAATAGATAACAAACTAAATTTTCTGGACGTTTTGTTAAGTAGAAAAGAAAATGGTTCTATCAGCAGGGGTGTGTATAGAAAAAGTTCTTCGCCAAGCCAATACACACATTTTTTAAGCTTTGTGCCTCTTCATTATAAGAGAAACTTAGTCAAATGTCTTGCAAATAGAGCTCTTAAGATATGCTCAGTCGACACTATTGATAGAGAATTACAACACATTCATAATATTTTGATTGAATTGGGATATCCACTGGGTTTCCTGAAGAAACACTTGCGCGTAAAAAACAGGAAAATAGTGACCCTGACGGCTAATAAGAAACCGCTTTTCTTGAAACTGCAATTCAATGGTGATTTGGCTAGCGATGTATTACGGGATAGATTGACTAGAGCAGTAAAGAGAACGTTTAATGCTGCCAACCTCTGCCTAACGTATTCGACCCGATCGATGGTGATTCCGCAATTGAAGGATAAGTTACCTGGTTATGCCACTTCTATGTGTATCTACGAATTCAGCTGCTCCTGTGGAGAAAGCTATATTGGGCGCACTACCAGGCAACTAAACCAACGAGTTAGTGAACACCTCCCTTCGTGGCTAGGAAAAGGTTACGTCAAAACAATACGCAGCTCGGTTCTATCACACTTGATCGATAGCGGTCATGTAGTGGACAGAAACAAGTCGTTCAAAGTTATTTACCGGATTCCCACTAGTTTTCCTTATGGTGTTCGATCTCGTCTCTTACACATAGCAGAAGCTATAGGAATCCGAGCCAACAAGCCAAGTCTTTGTATTCAGAAGAAATTTGTAACTCCCTTATCTCTCCCTTGGCCTTAAGTAATAAATGAATTTATTTATATATTTATTTATTCCTTTTCTAACTTTCTCTTCGTTTATTATTTTTCTTCACACCCTCCTACCACTTTATTTTCTCTCAACTATACGTTTCATGGTCCAATTATCTGAACATTTCTTATTACGTCATCTTATAATTTTATAATTGTTATCTCAGTTTCTATATTTTTCTAATCATTGACCTATTTCAGATTATGTAACATTGATTTGAACCTTTATTATTATTGCTTATCAAAAACTAATGCACCTGTTGTCACACCATCAATTTGTACTTTTCACATCTTACTTATTATGTAATCGTTTTCATTGTTATCATTGACTTATAAACTACCTTGATTGGTTTAATTATTTCGTATATGCATATAAATATTACTGTATATTAGAGTAAAGCCTGATGAGGATCTAATCGAGAAATATAATCACAATACAACTATAAATGTGAAAAAGAAAATTCCTTTCGCTGAATCCTCTTTATGTTTGTGCAATGACAATGAATTGTTTCAAGAAATCACATATTTATTAGTCGGTAGGCCAGTAGTACTTCAACTCCAATATTACACATTATTAAATTATTGTGTGTTTCATATTTGGTTCTCAATCGTTTGTCTCTTATTGAGTATCTGAGACGCTTGATGCAATACTGTGATCCATCCACCTGGCGTGGTCTATTATAAATATGTCACGTTCAACTGGTCAGTTGTTGTATAACTTGATATCAAATATAGGACCGAAGAAAATTACTCGTTCCTGTTAGATCATTATGTAAAATTATCTCATGGATCACTTAAATCTAGAAAGCTAAAATGTGTATTTCTCAATATTACCAGTTATTCTTTTCTTCAAATAATATGATTATGTTAACGGTTTAAGACTAGTTGATGATGATTTCATTTGCAATCGGAAAATTAATTCAATCCCTTTAAGTACTTCAACTAAGTTTTGAGTGAGTTAAATTGAACAACATTATTTTCAAAATATGTCTTGAAACACAGAAACTTACTATGAACTGAAGTGATTTAGTTACTGGGTTTAAAGGAGTTTTCAATGTTACATTATCTATGTTGCCTGTTTGATTAACTACACTGATGGATTTTATTTCTGGACTGAGATAGAAAATTATCGATTGTCTTTCACATTCCAATCCGGTACCATTCATCATTTGAACGGTTGTCTGGAGATACACCACATCTCTGAGTATTGGATTAAACAAAATGTATAATATGTAGAGAGTTATTTCATATCAATCGGTAAAACAGTTCCAATTCTGACGATTCAATTCAAATGGTAGTTGGATTCGATATTTGGTTTTAAAAGCTTTTCAATTTAGTTTGATATGACAAACTGATTACAATCAGCAGAGAAATAGCAAGAATATTTATAACTTCGCATCTACTTAGATTTCAGTATTTAAATATTTTAAGTACAGCGTAGACGTGTATAGCTCGAAAAGGGTGAAATTATTAGAATTTTGTGCAATAATACGATTTTTTTATTGCTAACCTAATCATATAATGTCGAGTATTGTCAGAGATCTTGTAAAAATTAATGTAAAGTTTGTCTTACATTGTTCCTACTCGATCCCTGTCCACTGCTTTGTATATTATTTTATACTACTTATTTACATTCAGTAAGCAGATGTATTCTCAACAATTTTTACACCTATGTTGTAACGCAAGTTGTAGTGTGATATTCTGAAATGTTCACATATACTTATAATGCTTATTGTACTTATCATTGTATTTATCATTATAATCACTGTTCCTTAATCGCTGTAGCGGTTATCCACAGTTTTGTGCATTTGTTTAAACGCAACAGTTTCCATATTGTTGTGCTCTTGGTTCAGATTTCGATTGTTCATAAACTTATCAAATTTAGACACAGCTATTAGCTGTCCTTTGTACTATCGTATGTTGTAATTATTCTTTATGTTACTGTTACAGGACGTCTTTTTATTTCATGCTTGAAGGATGCGTTTAAACGCCCCAGACACCTCACGAGTTGAGGTTTGTAACTAAATGTTGTGTATTATTCAATAAAGAATCGCTATTGTAGACAAATTGTTGTTTTGGAAACTTCGGTTTTGCGCGTATCTCAATCAGGTGACTTGGACGCTTCGATAGATCTAACAGGTAAAATGAATTTTTTTCTTAAATTTGAAGAGAATTATTTTTGATGTTGATGTAAACGAGTGTGTAGTTCCATAAGTTAAATGTTCCCAGCTGATTGTTTACTGTGTATCAGAAATATATAAAATAGTTGGTTCATGAGGAAACATGATAACATTAGGTTTGTTTGTTGAAATTAAATCAAATCCGGTAACTGTTGGAGGTATCACGGAGAACAATGTCCGATTTCTGCCTTCTTCATTGCTCCTGTTTTTCCACTTTTCAGTGAACGTGAGTTTAGTTGGTTCGAAGTAAATGGTAATGAATAAAAGCAATAACGATTTCATGAGAGTTTTGAGAAACAACTATATCACCTTCCATGCTTAAATATTGTCTTTGACAGATCGATTGATTTAACAAAAGTTAAAATGTTTTGTGCTGAGATAAGTGGAAGATAATTCAGGTACGATTTTCACCGGCTTTCGGACACTCACGAGATCGATCTAATATCAGGATTCACTGTCATTTACTGTACTAATGAAACTTCCAAGGTTTGTACAATTCCGTTCACCAAGCATAGGGGAGGTAAATTACATTAGTTTGGTTTGCCTACGTTAGTCATCATTTGGAATCGTCTCATATTACAAAACGAAACATAAATTTCAAACATATATCAACTCTTGCTCTGAAACAACAATTAAGGATTTTATTTTCTCGTTTCAGGCAGGACGTTTATATTTTGGTGCAAAGTATGAAGTCACCTTTATTCTGAAATTTAATCCACCTCGTAGTACAACCATTGTGAAATATCCAGTTCTAGTCGAAATTGTGTGCAAACCCTATGAACGTGGTAGTCCCGTAGTGAATAGCTGTGCAAAACAAAGGTTTTACAAGTTCAAATCTCATCTGCGTGTTCAACTTGACTACACTTGTGAGTTTTATCGGTGTGTATTTTTCCAAATTCCTGTTATGAATATAAATCAACACTACCTACCAAGAAATGACTGTATTATGGGAAATAAGTTTACCCTGTATGTCGGATACGTTACCTTAAATGGCAAATGCGGTTAAAATTTCCGCTGTTGTGGAAAAGATTTCAATCTTTGCATCCCATCCGATTTATCATACTGTCATCAAGTATTCACACATACAAATACAAATTTACAACCCATCATAATTTACTGAATTTTTCTCATGCTACTGAAATCACAATCATTCTCAAAATTTGAGGTGCTTGTTAATTGCTTTCAGAGAAAAGATGAGTTAGTCCTCCATTATTTGGAGGCTTTCCATAATGATATTACATTTGATCATACAAAACTGCTAGTAATGTACAATCGCAAACAAAAGATAAAAAGAAAAACACTGATCTCCTTGTTGAGAAGTATCAGCTATATATGTTTACACTGTAACTATATGCAGTTCTCTTACACTCCCTCACTAAAATGACCTCGAATTTTGTCAATCATCACCATAAGGAATGTTTGTTATTGGTTACTTATCTACAGTCACATCACGTTAATGTGAAAGAATTCTCTATCATTTTATTGATTTTTGGGATAGTTAAAATAATTCTCAGTGACTCTGTGATGTGTAATGTACAATCGAAACTAAAAGATAAAAGAAAAACACTGATCTCCTTGTTGAGAAGTATCAGCTATATATGTTTACACTGTAACTATATGCAGTTCTCTTACACTCCCCTACTAAAATGACCTCGAATTTTGTCAATCATCACCATAAGGAATGTTTGTATTGGTTACTTATCTACAGTCACATCACGTGAATGTGAAAGAATTCTCTATCATTTTATTGATTTTTGGGATAGTTAAAATAATTCTCAGTGACTCTGTGATGTGTCATTCAACAACATTGTCTTGTATTGACCTTTTGCATTCAGATCCTTACAACTTACCTCATTACGTTGCAATGCGGAACCCTTTGGTACAGTTGCCCGACCGTGAAGCGAACACATTTCTAAATGTTGGTGATATTTTGTTTTATTGTGCACGTGCGTTTAGTATGAAGGGTTCATTAGATTTGGTGAGACGATGTTTCAAGATTGGTAAATTGCCTGAAAGAATTTGGTTTGGTAAGTAATCATAGACAATCTGTTGTGTTTTATTATTCAACAGTGGATATTTGAAGTTCAAAACTACATAGTTACGTCTGTTACCCCTAGTGCAGGAGCATAGGCCACCCACCAGCATTCTCCATCCATCTCTGTCCTGGACAACCCTTCCCAACACTATCTAATTCCTATTCATTCTCTTCATTTCGGATTCGCATTCATTCAACATTGGTCTGTTGTGTAGAGATTTGGTTTGTGCACGACCGATCCTTACGGAATTCAGTCTGCTGATCTCGCAGTTGGGTGTCTACTGAGTCTTTCATCCGTTTCAGCAACACACTGTTGAAAACTTTTAGTCACCCGAATCTCAAAGTTAATTGGATGTTTATTAAAGTTATCTTTTATTTCAATTACGAATAATTCCTTTCTCAATTTTGTAAAACTACAGAAATCCCAATAACAAGTAAACATATGTTTAAATCAATACTGAATATATTCACAATGCAAACCTATTTCGTTCAACTGTAGTAAACAAGAACACCAGTGGGCACAACCAAATTCATTACAATATAAAATTATAGAACATCCTAGTAAAATCTGAGAACCACAAAATAATCACTTCATTTGCAAAATGTCAGTCAATTGTCTCATACTTGATTGTTCTTTCGTTTCCATACCAAACATTCGCTATTCTTGTTCTCTTTCTTCGATCTCAACTTTCTACCACCAGGCATTTCAATTTCGATTGATGACAAATACTACTTACATCTGTCGACTACAGTAGTCCACACCACACAACTAAGATTTAGATTAATCGTCAAGTATGATGATTTCTTCAGAATAATCAACCTTTTCATATTCAGAGCTTACTACTTTGCAACGGGAGAGTGTCCACTACCACCTCTGTTCGATTCTACTTATTGTCCTATTTTTACCACATTCATGATGTGCTAACCAACCTTAGTTAGTTGACACCAGATTGTTAATCAATAGAATAACAATTATCAAAATTGATTATTCATGAATGTATCGAACTAACATCCGACTCAGTTTACAAGACATAATGTATAAAACCAAACATTATCATAATGAAGGAAAACAAATGTTTTACATTAAAGACCGACATCACAAGCTAATTATGGCAGAATTTGTACTTGGAAGGAGGATTTATAATTCATTCTCTTCATATTTTACTATTAATTATACATGACTACTTGAACTGATATATAAGGTCATAAGAGAATTTTTAGTTCATGTAGCACAAATAAAGTATTTTAATAAGTCATAACTACAAACGTTTAGTATTTTAAAACATCCATTGTACAGAATCATGAAATACATAGTTGCTAAGAATTTAGGCTCATCGAAAATTTTGTTTAGGCTTATTTTGACAAAACAATGTCAGATATGTTTCGACTGATTTCTTTTCGATTCTCAGATGTCGGACCATATGTTGAACAGATTATAGCGTACACAAATCCACTTGGCATATTGTTCGGTTTGGGAGCAAATGGTGGAGGTGTAATGATGAGTAAGGATTTGGGGAAAACATGGATTTCAATCAACTCATTCATGTATCAAAGAACTTTGAATACGTCGACTGAAATCATTACAGCAAGTGTCATACCATGGATTTCATCAACTGGATCAATTGACAATACATTGTCTGAGTCATTTTGCAAGATGCGAGTGGCTAATCAATGGAATGGTAAGTAATGTATAGTAGTAACCAGATGCTCAAACGTGTTTTCTGTCATCCCACATGGAAGTGTGCATCAAAACCTAAGAGTTTTCAATATTTCTTCAAGGATAAGAGTCATGACAATTCCAACCGAACACATAGCTCTTGTGATATGCACTAGATAGCATAACAATATGTGTGATTTTTATTTCTCATATAGTCGGTTTTTCCATGACTACATAATTCGTCTTTCACACGGTTGTCGTTAAATAGTAACTTTATTAATTCCTAATAATGCATAGCTTAATTTTTCATAATTTAATGCTCAAATGAAGACGTCAACACTACATTCACATTATTTTATTGAGGTGCACACAGATAAACAACCAAATTTTAATCTGAATTGGTTTACTTCTATTGGTTGATCCCACCGTTTGCATAGTTGTAAGATTTTATTCATTGTATACTGGTTTGACTGCATTCTACTATCTAGTATTGTTTAAATAAGATAGATTATTATAGGAATTATTACAGCAGATAGCCAGATTTCTATGACATACGTGTTTGGCTATACCGTGGATACAACACGCATTCGCGAACACATCGTAGCTTAGTTATAGTTCTGTTATTAACATTCAAAATATGTCTATCAAAAATGATACTTGGTTTGAAGTTTGAGAAGTGAGTTTATCAGCTGATTGACCACCGTTTGATCTTGTTTGTTTTTATATACATCTCCTATAGTATGCATCAACGCAATTTATGCAAATGAACTTCTATTGGCAGACTGGACTAACACCTGTCCAAACATCAAGCCTTTTTAACCGATCAATCACTTCCAGTTGGAATACAAACTTTGTTCAAATATTTGTGCCTTTTCAATGTGTTCATTTTATGTTGTGTGCAATAATAGAACATTTAGTTAATTTTCTATTATATTACTTATCTTGCAATTAACCGTTTCAAATAAAGTACATATTAATCACATTTGCATTATATTCTGACCTAATGAAGAGTGGCTTAAGTAGGAATTTAGCAGACTGTTGGTTGTTATTTAACTATTTTCTAGTGTAAGAACAGGATTTTTGTAAATTACAGCTTCAGTAATATCTCGAAGTTTACTTTCAAGAAGTTTGTTAATTTATTTGATAATTATACCATAGCTGGTGACCATCGAACTATGACCCCTATTTGAGTGAAGGATAAATTAGATTTTCAACACATACTTCAGTCATCTGATGCAACTTGAATATAGTCAGTAGAATTTGCATACTAGTATTTAAGGAAATAAAACATAAGAATAAAATTAAAGACCTTTCTCTAGGCTAAATCCTTCCTCACACAGATTGATAAAGTAAAAGGAAGTCAACTGGATATGTTGTCTCAGATATTTCGTTACTACATATCAATCTGTTCAGTAGCCAGGGAACTTTACTCAATTATAAATCCAGCGTTCTTCCAACTGAAAGAGGATACAACATTATTACGAACATTGGTTTCATTTTTTATATTTCTCTACTATATCAGTTGGTAACAATCTGTATTGCGCTGCAGTGGTAAATGCTTCCTCACACAGATTGATAAAGTAAAAGGAAGTCAACTGGATAAATTGTCTCAGATATTTCGTTACTACATATCAATCTGTTTTCCAACTGGTATAGCTATACACAAAAAGAAATTAGTTTACGTAACTTGGATTAGTATTTATCAAAGATCACACCAATTTTAAACAAGTTGTATGATTGCTCTGCACCCACTAACATAACATTTTCACTGCTACATTCTTCATTTGACCTATGAAAGAACCTGAAGTTATTTCATGGTGAAAATACTGCTACTTTATATTGCGCCCAACATGATCTCTAAAGTTTTGCAATTACCCAATGTTGTAGGTGTTACATCTGTACACTATATATTGAAGCGTTCATAACGAAGTCGTTGCTTCAATCAGTGTTTACAAGGAACTGACTCACTAACGAATTTAAATTTAATACCGTGTACAATATGTTTTGCTTTATAAGCAGTTAAGTTGCAAGAGTAATCTTTTAAAAATATGCTTTTATCTCTATCCAAGTCACTGATATTTATATAGCATATCTATCTGATGCATCAGGCGATCTGCCAAAAATCACTTTAATGGTAGCCACTATTGATAGAAAACCGTGATAAATTATGTTGCAAGTATCAAACTAAAATGTAGTGCCTAATTGGTTAGCATAGTTACACTATCAAGATAGCCTCCTACTGATAATGTAACAACTTACATTCAGATCAATAAAAGCAATCCAAATGAAGTGGATTACATACGTTATTCGTTTTGATATTTCAGTTGGCCAATACACTTCACAACTCTCTATGACCACATGCTGGTAATTTAGCTATTTCTCTCGGTTTTTGAATTTAGGTGTTTTCCAGTTTTTTCCCATTGATATTTGAAGTTTATTTTTGCAAATATTTTGCTAATTCAGTATTGAATTATTAAAAGTGTATGGTATAGTTCCTTTATAAGTCACGTTTATTGTACTAATGTTGACTTGAAGCTATATTTACAATAAGATTATAAGCCAGTCACTAAGTAAGTAGTATTCTAATTTTATTCATCTTTAGGTATTGTGTTGAACGCTTGATAACTAGTAATCCTCAGGTTTTGTTCATCTGTGGTTGTTTTTTATTTGGTTTGTCTCTTTGATTCGCTTGATATACAATAAGCTTCAACACTATCCATCTTTACTTCTGGTTTTAAATCATGGACAATATTTAAAGCGAATGTGTTCAAGTCATCATGGAATTTATTTTATGCAGGATACTATTGTATTTAGGTTAGGTGTATCTACTGTGAGATTATCCAGTATGATAAGATTTATTTAATATTCCGTATTGGAACATACAATTAAATCAGCTTTCTAGATTCCTGTGGTGATGATGAACTGGATACTACGCTTTACTGAGTCGAAGGTTGAAGTGTAGATTTGTATGATTATCAATCGTTTTCCTTCTAATTCTCCCAATCCTTAAAATACAGACCTTGCAATTTTCAGAACAAACGACATCATATCACAACTGCTTTCTTCATCAACCTTGGTGTTACAGGATATGTGCACCAACGTATTCTCAGAGAATGTAAATCTCCAAATAACTCTTTAATCCACTAAAACCATGGCGGTCGAGTGACCAATCAACCTTCGCTTCATGCTCCCATAATCTCTGAACCATTCCAGAACTTCAGACCATTTCAGAATGAAAACACAATAAAATGAAATGAGTATCATCTATCTTCCTATGCTTCGATATTTAAAAGAGAATATAGTAGCACATTAAAAACAGTTGACTGACTAATAGGTCAGTTTTTGTCCGTTTCTTAATACTCATTTAGTACAATAAAAATCTCATCAACTAATAAATATTTTTATCCGAACATATTACATGAAACATGCTATCGAAAATGTGATAACAGCAATACATCGCATCCCGTATACAAACAATTAGCCGGAAGGTTTATACGACAAAAATGTTATTAGGAAACTGCATAACATTAATGCATAAGTGTTGTGTCCCGATAAGAATAATAAGTGGTAATTTTTTGGATCTATTTGTGGACCAATACTATACGTATATTTTTATCGTATAATTGTTAATTAACTAAACTATTTGTATTCATGTCTCTCTTATCATTAGCTTTATTTCAACCTATGAACTGTTATTATACGATTTTCCATTCTTGAATTATTCCCTGTTTATTAATCACCACCTCCCACGTTCACAGCCACACTTGGCCAAATTTTGTACAAATGTTATTTTCTACTTTGTCGTACGTTGTGGTCTGCTTGTTTGGTATATAAACCGAGAATGTTTGAAATACATGATTCATATCGGATTGGTGTTCTGGACTTAACTGGCTGGGCTAGGTGGAAAGCAGGACCAATCAGAACTGTAGGCTGTTCATACCGGTTTACGCGCCTTTGATCCGGTCGATAAGTCACCGCTCTCTAATAGGCGGTCACAAGATATAACAATAAGAAAATATTAAACTGTACTCTTACTTCCAGTAGAGATGAGGTTGATAAACCACCAACAGCTTAACTAATATGAAGGTATCTGAAGTAAACAACCCGGGAATATACACTTTTGCTACATATTAAGAATCTAAGTATAGAACAGATTTCTAAATTCGGTCGCATCTTTGACTACTTATAAATTTATTCGATAATTTAAACACACGTACATCGACAGAACGATCCAGCAAGAACATCACTGCCTTCTTAAGCACTATACAATAAGTCTAGGTAAAACACTGAATAAATTCACTAAATATTCTTTCCTTCTTACCTAATGAAAACACAAAATCAGAATCCTTTACCACAATGTCGATGAAGATTAAAGAACTTTATATCTGTTCCTTAAAAATAACAGAGACAAGTTTTCTGACTCCAAGTATACAAGTAAAAAGCCCTTTGTTAAATTATTTCTCATCCTCATATATATATATATATTCCATTAGGTAAAATCAATAATCATTCCCTGTCCCAATCAGACTTCAAATGACATGATGTTTGTGTTTGGAAATCATATGATCAAAATGTCGTCTGATTCAGTTCAATAGTTTAGAATAATAAATATCTCATGCTAACTTTGGTCAATGAATAGTGATTGTTGACTGTAAAACTCATATCTGAAAAAATTCATAAAATTAGTGAACGAAGTCTTTATATAAAATGTAAATTAAAGGTATAACAGTAGATTTTGTTACATAAAACATGTCAGAAGGGGTTTGTGGAGATTTTTAGAAATTTTCACAGATTGAAATCATGAGTCAGTTGAAGCTAGACCACCATTGAAAACCTGGTAGTGAAGTATTCCTATTTATCAAGCAGACACAGAGCTGAATGTTTCACTCCGAATTCATTGAAACTTTAATTCTAATCTTAGTAAGAAGGTGTTCGAGTAAATTATACATGAAGCTCAACATCTGATTGAACTTCTAATAAAAGTGCACAGAATGAAATTATCCACTAGCCGTTTTCTCATTGTAGTTAAGGATCTATGATATCTATATGTAATTAGTAGATGTGTTAATCAGTAAATAATTAGATATTCTCCAAACATGTTTCTAGATAATACTGATATTACAATGACGAGATAAGCTTGTTCATTCAAATGATTTTAATATTAGACAAATTCTTAAAAAAAGATTAAATTGTTTAATGACATTCATTTATGTAATTAATTCATAAAACTATTAATTAGTTAAGGATAAGCAGAAATAATGAGGAATATTTGTCTAGAATGAACATTGAGAAGTGATGCCTGATAGGCGGAAACTATTAACTAACAAACTAAATTGTCAAGATAATTATAACTGTTATTCTGAATTAGGTTAATTATAATATGCGAGTCGACATTCAACTTTATCTGACTGTTGTAGTCAAATAATGGCAAGTCAGATAGAATTGTTATCAGGGAAAATATAAATAAAATCCAAATGTCTAATTCAATATTTATGAGGAATTCTGTTGTTATTCCACTGAATCTACAAATAAATGAGAATTTGATTACATGTGTTCTTCCATTGCAATAATAATTTTAATAATCATCATTATTACGTAGTACAGACAGACACATTTTATTCTACACTATACTTTCCTATCAATTTCGGAAGCCTTTATGCAAACCAAACACTCCGATGAGTTACTGATCAGTTCATCAGTGGAGAAACGTGGATCTATTCCCAAATATGTTGTATACACATATACTCATTAAATTCAGATATCAGAAACATTCGAGTGATAAACACCCAATCATAGATGGGCGCGGTTGCTAGCATGTA